AAGACAACTTAATAATATATGATCGGTATAATCCAATTATAGTTAATTATAGCCGAGTTATTATCAACCACAATAGATAAAACATTCAAGAAAATGCTGAGAATTCTGAAAACAAACAATTGTCCTCGCAAAGAATATCGTCGAGTGGCGAAAGAAACAGGCGCGGGCATTCTTCTGTCATTCATATAATGCTGTCTCTCAAAGAGGCAGCGATAGAGGAGTCGTTGTCGCCTGTCATTGAACACGGCTGTGTATACGCGTGAAACAATGCAAGGTGTAACGACGCACGGAATGAAAGAGAAGATCAAACGAGAGAGAAAGTATTAACATACCAGGTCACCGCATGCAGAGAACTATGCATAAAATACATATATATAATCTGAAATTATTATACAAGTATTAAAATTAATATCGAGTATCGTTCAAACTGACAGGCAGCATCCACGTGTCTTTTTGTCGCACGTATGTCTGTGTATATCGCATAAGACGACAACGTATAATTATGATAATATATATAATCGTAAAGCAGATACGGAAGAAGAGAAAGAAATGCGTACAGTTATCAATTACACAGGTCGCCAAAAATAATTTTTATCAAGTAACTCTAATCAGAGTAGATATTTCTTATAGATTTTCGGTCATAAAAAAACAACGTCGCTGTTTAAATTGCTCCATTACGTTAGGTTTTAAAATTATTTTAAATTTTAAGATGAGAAAACAACGATTTTTTATTTTTGAATTTTAAGATGAAAAATCAGCGATTTTTTATTTTTGAATTTTAAGATGAGAAATCAGCGATTTTTCATTTTAAAATACAAAATAATTTTAAAACCTGACGTAATGAAACAGCAGCATTGTTTTTTGTGGCGGAAAATTTATAAGAAAAATCTACTCTGATTAGTTACTTGACAAAAATTGTTTTTTGTCTGTGTTATTAATGATTAATCGCAATGACATATGTACCATAATACGGGCGCATATATAACTTTATCATCGCGGTTGCAAAGAGTTCGGAGTATGCGTTACGATCAGATCTACTCCGAGACGTTCGGCCAGATGAAAACGTCCTTCGTAGCGAAAATATCCAGTTTAGAATTGCGGTGGTAGCACAAGAGCGAGGCGTTCTCGTTCTCCTGGTTGCGTCGCTGAAGAATGGCTACGTTTCCTGGGCTATAATCAATTACCGTCCACTCTCGTCGGTCTCTCTTCAGCATTACACGGCATAAAAGCCCTCGCAGGTGCGTTCTCTCTTCTTCATTCCTCTACTTGATGGTTTCTCCTCCTCCTATACTCTCCGCTCGTTCTCCACGCTCTTCTTTCCTACGTTCGCAATCTGGACGAGTTCTCCATCTAAAGTGTCGAGAACGATATGAATCACTCGGAGCCATGGAATATATTATTCGGAAAGTTTAAGACAGATCTTTTTTGTTTCCTTTCTTTCATACTAAAGATTCTCATCGTGTGTTAAAATCCGTTTCATTCGTAGATATGTTGATAAATTTGTATCAACTTGTGATGATGTTGATGACCTCCCATGTGTCTCCGATCAACTTCTCTAAAACTTTCTGTACATTTTTCTCCTTAATATTCTCATAGTCTAATTTCAATAGCTTTGCAATTACTTTGTTAAATCTCTTGCAATCTTCAGGGAAAAGAAATTAATCAGGTGATAAATTTTCTTTGCATTATTATAACATATGTAAATGGTCATCTCCGGTCAAGCTCTATCATTTTACCAGACGACCGAAATTCCATGAAATACTTGTCATCGATAAACTCGCAATGTATGCGATGATAACGCGTTGCTTAAAGTGGTAGATGCGTAATCCCGAGTGGGCGCTGACACGAAATACAGCGGATGAAATTTCCTTCGCGAGGCACGACCGAGTCGTCGAAAAGGAGAGGCCTCGGCGGGATAAATCATTTTATGACGCAATTATATCTGCCAAGCTGTTAACTCGATTTTTCCCTTATATGTTATACGTGCAAGCATACCGATGAGAGTAACAGATAAAAGGTCAAAGTATTTCAAAATCAGTCGCTCTCCCTCAACAGCGTTTTCCGATCACGTGCGATTAATTCCAGCAACGATAAAGTAATGAGATGGTGATATAAAAGTGATTATTTTCAGTCTTATTAATTGGAATTTTCCCGACTTGCCTGAGTTTGCTTTAATCTTCCTTTTTTAGACTTCACTGTATGTGATTGGAAAACACAGCTGGTGACCGACCATTGGAATCTTTTGACTTTTTACCTGTTATCGTATGAAACAGACGGATCATCATTCCTCTTTTTTCAGCGTCTATTCTTCTCCATTTTTCGTTTAAATTTGCGCCACACTGGGATTTCTGTTTGTAATTATTCCGAGCGTTCAATCAATCGAAATAATTGAATACAATAAAAAAAATGTTTTTTTAAAAAAAGAACAAGTTTTCCTGAAAATGATATAATACAAAAGATGAAAAATACTATCGCGTGGACGAAAAAATCTATCGTATGGATGATAAATAAGAAATATAAAAATAATGTAACTATGTTTTGTGATAAAAAAGGTATCTCGATTTTATAATATATTTTTATGTGTTTAAACTAAAGCTCAAAAATTTCTAAAGCTTAAATAAAATCCTATAAATATATACAATTAATGTTAAGAATAACTATTAGCTCCAGCAATTATTATTTTAATTTAGAATAATAATATAAAAATTAAAAACTAAATATCACGCATCACGCAACTAAAAAAAAATATATATATATATATATAATTACATTATCCTTTTTTTCAAAAATATATAATAAGCGCAATACTCAATGATTATTTATATTAATGAGATCGAGTGCAATGACATATGTACAGGAGGTGTGTTTGCACATTTAAGTATGAGCTAAATGCACTATTTGTTTTTGTTACTCCCGGAGATCCCGTCTGTTTTTAGGCTGGTGCAGAGCGGATCCGTTTGTCACGCCTCCACCGAGATTTCCGCTCTTTGTTCACCTCTATTTCAGTTTTGTCCTTGCGTCGCATCGGTCAGCAGATGTACGCGAAGGGGCGTAGATATACCGTCAGTGCCGTAATTTGCATCGCGATATCGAATATCGATTACGTAATTCGTAACACAACGACGTCGTCGTTGCAACGGAAGATCTTTCGTTTTGTCAGCTCCCGATCATATGTAGGAAGCAATTATTGTTACGTAACAAATGTGCGTCTGTATCGGATACAGATACGCAAATTAGGTTCTAAGCCGATAGACGACTGCGTTTCTTAATTATATATTTATAGCTCTTACTACGCTTTAAAAATTTATAAATGTAAAATGAGCATATGTCTTAACTCTTTTTCTTTTTTTAATGGAAGAATCTATAAGATAAAAATGTCGAATGTTGTTTTCTTTTTCTAGTTTTGCTCTTTGTCAAATGTGTTTCGGATATATGTATTTATAGGTAAATTCGAACTTCCGGTATCGACAGTAAATCGAACAAGGCTAATCGCAATCTTCCTGTATGCGATGCGCATTATGATGGAAATCATTGGAAATCACTGAATCGAGCGAATCATTCGTTACATTAACATGTTATAGTTTGCTGAAGCAAACTGTCAAAAACAAGATCGATAATATCTTTTCGTGCTAAATTACTTAATACTTGTAATAATAATATAATTAAATATAATAACTTTTTCTATAATAATGCAAAAAATAAAATAAAAATGTTTTTACACGTGTTTTCGCAGTCAAAAAAATATGCAATATCATAAAAATATACGATTAGTAAGAAAATTTGTATGCAATAAAAAAATTATTATGATATATATATATATATATACATATTCGATATTAATACTGAATTTTATAAATTCGATCTTTATTCGTGTATTTGCTTAGAATAAACGTTTCTGTCTTGGCAATCGTAAATTTTAGCAAGACACGCACCAGCCGGTGTATTAGAGTATAATGATCATGTGTGTACGCGCGTGAGTTAGCGAAGTGTTCGGGTACTTAACACTCGACATTCTTGGCATTCGAATTTACATAGTGCAGTTGGGAAGCAGAAGAAAACGTAAATTTTAAAAAATTTTCTCGGTTCTGAAATATTTAATTACTGTAAAAAAATAAGTTCTATATTCAAGGCTTATCAGCATATAACATCACGTATTATAACAGAAAAAAAAAATATATATATATATCTATGGATTTATATCTTACTTAGATTTTTCAATCTAATTAAACATATTTATATTTATTTAAAAATCACATTTATGATTTTAAATTATATTGCATATTTCTCTCACTCAATAAATTGAATTTTTGAATCTACATTTTTCTATATCTTAGAAGAAATACAATATAAATAAGCTAAGCTTTTCTCTTAGAATATTTCTCTCCCTTTCATATTACAAAAGATTTTACAATATTTTAAACAAAAATGTGTTACATACGAGAGTGTGTAATTTACTCTCAATTTAATTATGTTGCATTTATTATTTTTATAATTAATTTAATTTAATATATGTGGAGAGGAAAGGGTCTCGTTCGTCACAAGTTGAAATGTGCTACTGCCGTTCGATGTGTCACGGATATGTGGCCGAGGCGCGGCTACAGAAATAGCTCGTGACTCAATATTTAGGCTGCGCCGATTTAATGCAGCGCTCTTTCGTCATGGAACCGTCCCGTAGGACGGCACGGTCCTGGCAACAGGAAATTTGCCGTTGTACGGCTCATGTTGCAGCCGATTGAATATTAAGGATATATTCTATTAGTATGATGGAATTTAAATCGACAGAGAAAAAAGATATACTTACCTCGACCTTCGAAATTTATATATATGTTCCAAGAGATTTGAAAGCTTGCAAATTTTCTGCAAAATTATAATATTTGCTTGGAAAAATATAAATTTGAATTAAATATATTTAATCAATTTTAAAATTTTATCTGTGCATCGCGCCTTAATACTATACTTATGTTAGATTCTGGTGGAATGAAGGCATAGTCAGAAGTTTAGATAAAAATTTATTGAAGTCTTTAATGTGTGTGTTCATTATTGTGTAACATAAACTTATGACAATGCCTGTGGATCGTACGCATCTATAAATTTATTCGTATATCATTCATTCTCTTAAATTATTTTACACAAGTCCACACGTGCGGTAGACGTACTTATGCGCAAGATTATGACGGATGCATAATCTCTATCTATGTACATTTAATATATGTAATATACATATATTTTATATATCGTGTAAAGTATAAATATGTATATTACGTATATTACATAAGATATGTAATGTATGTAACGTACATATACTCTTGTAGGAAACATGTTGTTACTACCATGTTGCCTGTCTTCGTCACTTGACCCGCGTTCGTCCAAATGTTTTTATATGAAACATAAAGCAAACGCAACCGGTCAAACCACTAACTTTGTACTCTGCTTTCGCCATTCCCATAACTAAGACGTTATTTGGTATTGCAATGGTATTCGAAATAATAACAATGAGAAGAAACAAAATAAATTTTTTCATATTTATGTATATATCGCAGATTTTTTTATAAATTCAGCCTTTTTACAAAAAGCCTAAGCTTGGGTAAAACGACGGTCTACAAAGATTCGGCGTTTTATGGAAAAGCTAAGCTTTTAGAAGACTGATTTTACAAAAAGCTCGTTCATATTTTTTTGATAAAATTCTATGATTGGTCTACGCTCCCCTCTAATGTCATTCAAGGAATCATTAGCGGCGGGTGCGTTTTTCCAATCATCATCTAATACTATGAACGCGCCTGTAACTTCATCTCAGTTCTCGATGCACGGAAAATAACCGATTGAATATCTTCAATAACGATGGACAAATACAGTTTGGGCGTGATCATTTCGCAATCAGTATGATTGAACGAAGAAAATTAATCACTCTTAAACCTATGCGTTTTATGTACACTTGGATAAAGTTTATCGGCGCGCTAAGGAATCTCGCGCCACTTTAATAGGGAAGTACGGTTTTTTACACGAAGAAGACGTTCTCCTCTGTCAAAGCGTCCTTTATCCCTGTGGCGCTTAAGAATTCTCATATAAAACCGTCTCTTAGAATAATTCACCGAAGACACATCTTCTGATATTAAATATTACATTCGTCCTTGTATTCCGAACGCATTTGTTCCCACTTGAGACATGTCACTGGCGATGTCCCTTCACGTATCAGTGTCAGTCTGCCCACGACGGAGCGGTGGAACTCACGCCAGCTTCATGTATATGGTGCGTTCTCGCATCTTGCAATGCTTGAGTTCTTTGAGCGCTCGTTGCGCTTCGCTAGGTGACGAGAATGCCACTCGCGCGTCCCCGGTCGGCATGCCCCTCTCGTTGTAACGGCGAATTACATTTTCCCGTTTAACGTCAAAGTCACCGAAGAATTCGATAATCTCGTTGATATCCGCTTTGAACGGTACATTTTCCAACGATAGTACACAGCCAGGTTTACCGAACCCTTCGACATAGTCCATAGAAGGCGGGTGACGACCCAGCATATGTCGCGGCATGCCCATCAAACCGGGCGGGCAGCGGGGTCCGAAACCGGTATTGCCGAACCGCGGCATGTGGCCCAATGGACCGGCGGAGAAGCGTGGTGGTCTCTGATGCTGCTCCATCGGCGGGAAGTGTTGCTGTTGCGTCTGCTGCTGCGCCTCCATCATGCCGAGAGTCTCGAGCATCTTGGCGCGTGGTACTAGTTCAATAGTAGGTACGTTCTTGCCGAGCGGCAGACCGTTCTTAGCGATAGCGCGTTCCGCCTTCTCGGCCGAGTCGAACTCGCAGAAACACTCGCCGGCTGGTTTGCCCTGCTGATTGAGCATCATATGGATGCAGAGCGGCACGATGCCAATGTCTGAGAAGAAGTCGAAGATGTCGCGGTCGATTGTCTGGAACGGCAAACCGCGCATGAGAATACAATCCGTCTGGTTCATGCTCACTTGCTCGTGCTCGCGCTTCGCCTGCGCAAACTTCTCCTCGCTGATTGCGGTCGCGGTCACCTGCTTGCTGCCGATCTTCAGTGTCGTGTTCAACGACGACTTGGCATCCTCGAGTCGTGCGAATTGTACATAAGCCATGTACTGGATGGTGCCGGACTCCTTGGTATTGGTGATGAAGAGATCGTTGATTTTCCAGTCGTGGAACAGCTTAGCTATGTCCATTTCTTTGGTGAAGGACGGTAGTTCAGTCAAGAGAATACACATGGAATTTCTCACGTCGCCATCGTCCTCCTTGTCAGGCGAATAAGAGTTTACTGCCTTGTCAAAAATACTTTCGTCCAAGTGAAGTACCTCCACTTCGGAATTTCGTACATATCTCGTTTGACTTAGGGCTTGTTCCTTACCCTCGGCCTTACCAAACTTGATATACGCGATACCTACACGATTACCGTGATTATCATTGATTATCTTCATGCCGTCCTTTCTGATGTAGATACCCTGAAATGCGTGACGTAAATCCGTATACGTCGTGGTCAATGGCATGTTGCGTACCTCTACGCAATGACCGCCGCTGCTACCGCTGCTCTTGTTATCGGAGAATCTCGAGCTGCCGGACTTCCTGACGGACGTTTGACGATCGTTCTCGTAGTTTCCGAAATTGGAAGCGCCAGCCTGAAACGCATGCGGATTACGCCGACCCTCGAGCTCCTGCATTTTACTCAGGAAAGCATTATTCGGTCTGGTGCCACGATAGCTGCTGCTCGTGCCATATTCCTGATTATTGAATTGATTCGATCTGCCGGAGAATCGTCCGGTCTGGTCCAATCTGCTTTGCTCGTTCTGACTCCATGGCTCCTTGGAACGAGTTCCCAGACTAGTCAGACTAGGTAGACTCGCGGTGCCTAGATTCTGCGTCAACGGTGTTATGCCCACCGTGTGACCGAGCGCCTGCACATGCGGTTGCATAAGATTACCAACGCCGTTGAGACCGTTTATAGAGAATTGTCCCGACTGCAGCATCGGCTGCGGCCCTATCACGGAAGTGCCAAAGCCGGCAATGGCCGAACGCTGAGTCTCCGAGTCCTGGGACAGAGCGGCGACGCCGGCGCCTAAAATACCGGGTGCCAACAGGGCAGCCTGCATCTGCGTTTGAGGCGGAACCTCCCATATGCCGTTCTCGAGCGGCTTTTTCGACGCAGCCGCCGATGCTTTATCCTTGTGAAATTGGCCGACGCACACGACGTCGTTGTTGTCATCCTCGGTGTCCTTGCGACGATCGTTCGCGGAGCCCCTTTTCGAGTCGCGGTCGCGCGACCTCGTACGATCGCGTGACCTGGACCGATCCCGGCGACGTCGCCGATCTCGCCTGTCGCGTTCACGATCGCGCGACCTGCTGCGGTCACGGCGTCGTCGATCTCTGCCGCGATCCCGGTCACGACGGTCTCGGTCGCGGTCGCGATCACGCGATCGCGATCGGTCCCGCGATCTCGAACGGTCACGCCTGTCCTTCCGATCCTTGCTGATCTCGCTGTCGTTATCCTTATCCCTCCTGTCCGTTGGCGAACCGGGCTGCTGCTTACCAGGAACTACGGCCGGAGGCACCGCTACAGGCGCCGTTTGCATAATGCATTGCAAACTTAAGGTCTGCTGTCGAGCGGCCTCGATCACTTTTTGCATTTCAGCGCGCGAGCTCAACAGCAGCTTGATCTTCATCTCCTTGATCTTACCGCCATCGTGCATCATCGCCTGGCGGGCGTCTTCGTCGGTACTGCAATAGTGAAGCTTTTCGTGAGATTCCTAACGTCGCGATCTATTTTCTCGTAAATTCGTTAGGCAACTAAGCTTCGCATATTCTTTTTTAAAACATTGCAAATGCCATCAGTTTTTCTGTTAACGCTTTACAATTTATAGTTTTATCCGTAAGTGACAACTTGCCATGCTAATGAGTTTCATATGACGGATATTGATCTTGTCCTTGCGTAAGATAATTTTACGTTTACAAGTATATGAAGGATAATTATTATACTATTACTGTGTGAATAATAACAAGATCCAATAAAATAACCGGAAATTATTTTTCTATTTTATGCATTCGTATCAGCAACTTGTTACAACTTTCTACATAATAGTCTCTTAAATAATCCATGGTTAATTTATCGCTGAAGTAAAATTAATCACAAGTTAAGTGGCGAAGATCTTTTACTATTTTTTTTTTTTTTTTTAGAATCTGTAGGAAATTCTCATGTTAATCACAAGTTAAGTGGGGAATTTTTTTTTTTTTTTTTTTTTTTTTTTTTAGAATCTGTTAAATTGTTATCATGATCGTTGCAAATAAATAAGTTTTAGATATAAATGACTGTAAATGACGGAAAAAAGATGATCTACTAAGTTTTTAATCTACTAAAATTTATTTTATTTTATTTAAGGACAGAATCTTATTTATAACCGTAGATTTATGATTGTATATACAAATCGCGAGAAGAGAGTAATCCAATAATGATATAAAATCTTTAAGCCGCAGTGTTGAGCGAACGACGTAGAAAATAAGATGTAAACATATCCATTGCTTCGCTCCAGATCTCTCTTTTCAAAGCAACCGATTTGTACGACAGCACTTACCTAAATGCGATGAACGCATCTCCCAATTCGCCGCCGACAATATGGACCCCTCCCTCCGGGATGCTGAGACCTCTGAAAAATTGGCGTATGTCCAATGCGTTGGCGGACCACGCCAGATTTTGCAGTCTGATTATGACGCTCATTTTCGGCAGTACTCGTTCGATGCCTTATCTGCAACCGAGCCATGAGGCAACGAAATTATAAACGACGAAGATAATGAACATCTTCAATGTGATTATAATGAGCCGCAATGAGAACTAAATCATTCGCTAATTTTTTATTAGAATAATTGACAAATATCTTCAAGATATATATGCAATCATAGAAGACCTGAAAATAGAAATGCCTTTTTCAGATAGATATATCCTTCTACATTAAACGTTTTTTTTTTTTTATATATATCTTTTCGTGAAAAAAATTTTTTTTCAATTTTTTTGATATAGTGTACGTCATTATTTATAGTATATCAAATTATATCTTTTTATTATAATATATTAAATTCTATATTGCTTAAGAGCTAGAAATTTTAATATTTTACATATACGTATATATCACATAAGTTTATTATTTATATATTATGTATTTATTATATTAATGATATCATTTCTCTTGTGATTTTTCACTGCACGAGAATTTGTATTGATATTAATACTTCCACACATTATATGTATTTATTATATTAATTTATGCACGAATGTATGCTGCTTTATTTTTTTATTATTCCTTTTATTTCTTCTCAACTGCTCTTCTGTTTTTTTCTATCTTGGTCTTGCCTCATCATGACGGATCGAGCTTGATCTTTCTAGGCATCTCCTTCCTTTTAACTGTTTTTGTTTTATTTTTATTATTGCATGTTTTTGTTTATTTTTATTTTTGCATCAAAAGAGATACTTTGAAGTATAAATCTCTTTTTATCTAAAAATGATATAGAAAAGACTGTTCTTTTCTTCTTTTCCATAAAAGTAATCCTAACAAATCGAGATAAGCAAAGATAGTAGGCCCACTTTAATTTCATTGTAAAAAGTAAATAATTATGCATATTAGGAGCGACCTATTTAAATTTGCTTGTATGTCGCAAACGGAAATACGTGTTGCAGGATATTATTATTTGAGTAAGTCATGCTGTGAAGACGAACAAAATAAATGATTGAATATTCTAATATTCAGTCAATAGAGACATCTACGGTTTGCGTTTTCGTCTATACAACTCGTGTACGTTTTTTATTTTATAGCTAATCGATTATTTTTTATACAGGATTATACAGGTAATTGTAATTATATATATTTAAAAGAAAACTCAGAAAATTGAAATAAAAAGAATTTTAGATATTTATCTTCTTCCTCATCCTATTTTTTTCATAGCGTGTCTTAATCTTCGTGACAACTCTCTAACTGGTCGAATAAAAATAATCTCTGATTTTCGATCAAGTTTATGAGCGGGCATTTCACGCGCAGCATGTTCCTGTCACGTCTTGCGCAACGCTTTGCAAAGGCAAGTAAACTTTCTCTCTATAATGCTGATGAAAACGGATAAGATTGTACGAACAAGATAGTAGATAACGAAGCATCTCCTTAATCAAGTAACACACGTACGCCAACGACTCTCCTGGTATTTGAAATAATCCAAGTTGCTTCATTCATTTCTTTCGTGAATACATAAGCGGTGAGATATTATTATATTTTATTACAATCTTTTTATTATTTCATTTGCATTTAACGGTGTGTGTTGAACCGTTGCTGAAGGCCACGCAAGAATAGGCACGTGAATAGAAACGAGTAATCGGATTTATTAGCATAAAAGATGTTCGAATGATGTTTCCACGAAAAACATGCGCTTTACATGTTTAACCGTATGCATGAAATGGACGTTTAAGTGCTTGTTACGTCTTGACGATAAATCAATTTCAGAATCTCAATGAAAAGAAATTCTTTGTCTTAAATACATTACTTAATATTTAAATATTTTACTTCGCGACATTATAGATAAAGATATTTTTAAGAAAAATCGCTGATCAATTTTTATTTTGAATTTGATAAAAAAAGAGACGTATGAGACAAAAGTTATTATTTAAACTTGTCCATAAGATATGAAACATCTGTACTATTACTATCTGTTCTATTACTTACATTTATTCAATGTAAGAAATAACTCTGCAGATTTAGAAGGATAAGAAATTAGCAATACAAAATATATTCTAATCATTTCATACTGTAATAATTTCAGTCAGAGAGAGCATAGAATTTTTCATAGTTTTATATATATTATCTATTTTGTATTTTATTTTTAATATGTATATTATTTTAATAAATTATTTTCCGCATATAAAGAGATTTTAATTATATATTTTTTAGTAAATATTACAATAGTGCAACTGCATCGTCTTGCCGCGATACTCATAATTTTATATATCATTTTAAACAAAATTATTGATATAAATAATGAAAATATGAAAAAAATAGCGAAAAAAATATAAATAAAAAAGATATAAATGCGAAGCTGTTCCCGTTTTCTTGGCGAATTGTACAAATCGTGTTGCTGTCTTTTTTCACATCGACGACGGCATTGAATTTGATACGGCGAACGTCCTTGTTAAGCTGCTTGCATCAACTTTGTATGAAGTACCGGCTGTTAACTGCAGTACTATTAATCATTCGGATGGTGCACGCGTATATTCTCACATTTGCGCAACTAACTATAATCGCATGGCTTAATTTGCAGCTTTATTAATTTCAGGAGATTAATTTCAGTCGCGCAAATAATTAATTATTATTATTTTATCCAGAATTATTACTGACGCTGACATTTAGCATTGCATTGCAGAAGTTGTAAAACATAGATTTCATTGTTTTTAATTCCTATAATAAATTGACCACGCTATAAAGTAATGTCAAAAACATTAAGAATATTTTTTTTTCGTGTCTATTTATAATGATGATGATTTAAAGAGTTGTTTTTCTCTGGCTTATGTAGTTGCTATCAGAGAGTCATAACTATCGTAAGAGTAAAGCGCAGACCCATCACAACCCTGTTTTTTTTTCTCATGTGGGAAAAAGGTGGGAAAAATTTTACTGTTTGACTTGATGATTGTGTGTAATTATTACATTAGTGATAATTATACGCTAATCATTAAATTAGCCAAGAGTTTGTTTTGATATATTTATTTGGAAAAGTATTGTGGTTTAAATGTATTTGATATTATTTAAAACGTGTGTTCAATTTATTGTCAGAATTATTAAAAACATAAATTTAACGCTCAGTATAAATAAATTGTAAATGTAAAATTGGTTTACAATTTGAGTTTATTTAGTATTGTTTAATTTGTCAGCATAAAAAATAAATTTTAAATAACTAACTATAATTTCCTAAAAATTAACTGTATAATATTAATTGTAAAATACAGATTTAAAAAGTCTTAAATGTATTTTATTAATAAAAATAAAGAGGGGGTGAGGGAGAAGAGGAGGGGGAGGGAGAGAGAGAGAGAGAGGGAGAGAGGCAGGCAGGCAGGCAGACGGACAGGCAGACAGACAGACAGACAGAGACAGAGACAAAAGGAAAAAAGAAGGAATAAAATATTAAGTAATAATATTGTTAAATATTATTAAATATATTATTAAATATTATTAATAAATATAATTATACTTAATTAATAAATATAATTAAATATTAACTTATGCGTATACTTGGCGCCTCTTTTTCACCTTTCTTCCGTTTTTTTTTCACGTTTTTTTTAGGGTTACAGACTGACCTGACAGGGAAATGATAGAGATACGGCTGATTATGATGCAGCACCCGGCGGTGATAATAATGCGATGCCTGTGTGGTAGTACAGAACACTACTACAGGCGCGCAATCTCCTCGGATGCACGACGAAAAAGCCTAATCTGCGATTGTCGATTATGGATGGTACGGAAATGTCGTGACCTCCCTTGAATGTTGCTCGTCAATGACAAAGAATCGACTGAAATTGTTGCCGCGACGCTTTACATATTGCCGCGACGCTTTACATATTATGTTATGTGTGAACACAAACGCAAATTCGAAAACGCTTCCCCACTTTTTCGCAGGGAGGGCGCATTAATTGGAGGGAATTAAGAGTTCATTATTCCACGCGAATACACCTGTGTGTTATAACATATTAGCCAAGATCGTAAATGCACTCATAAAAGATATTGATTTTATTATTATTCGTGATTTAATTATGCGTTAAATTCCCAATATAATTAGTAAAATGCTAGAAATATGCCAGTAAAAATTATGACTTTGCAGCAGATTCCGCTCTGCTGCGTCCACATTAAACTTAATCAAATTTAATTAAATTTCTAGTAGTACGGCTTGCCGATATAATATAACAGAAAAAATGGAACAAAAATCGAGTATTATTTGCTATTACGTCATGATAACAGATATGTAACAAACATCGAGCGAAGTCTGTCGTCTCAGATACTGATGGCAGAAATGCGGCAAAAATCAAGCATGGCCTGCCGTTACAACGTGACGGCAGAAACGCAGCAGAAGTCGCGCATAGCCTGCTGTCACAATGTGACGACGAAAACACAGTAAAGACAAAGTACGCTTGCAAAACACAATTACTAAATAGATGCAATAAAAACTGAATATTATAAATAATATAAATATTATGTTACATGTAATATAAATGTATATAAATGTTTACGATAAATCGTCAGTTACTTTAGTAACTTTTTCCAGTCATCACGCGATGCGGTAGCGTCGCGACGCCAAGTACATAAAAAAACGCAAAAGAGCGAAAACGGCTATCCCCGCGACCCGCGACTACATTCACGGCAATCGTCGAGGCGCTACCAAGAAGCTTATCCGGAATTTTCTGTCAAACGTGCTTTCAATTAAAATATCTCAGAAAATAAAGTTCTTAATCAAAAATCTAATGGCACTTTTTTTATACAATGTGGATGCAAGCATCGCGACCAGTTTGAATAAGATTGGTGCCGAGGGGCTATGCACTAGTGAGTGCGATGAACAAGTGATTTCAGATTGAAGTCGATTTCAAATGATTTTATCGATTTCATGAATACTTCAAGCGATTGGAAAAATGTGAGTTAATGTGATTTCATACGATCCGATCAGTAATTTCTGAAATCATTTCTGATTCTACATGATTTCATACTGATTTCAAAAGTTCAGAGATTTC